TGGAAGTCTACAAATATCGCTGAAGGATATGTGCAGCAATCTCTTGCAAAAAAGCAAAAAATTTAAAACCTAATTATGGGAGTCACTAAAGTTAATGAAACTGATTGTAATCAGCCAAGTACGAGTATTTCCGAGGGATACCAGCTGTATAATAATATAGTTAGTGAAAATATCACGAAAACTGCGTTGGATCCAGCTCTCAGTTCTAGTGGTATTCAAATAACCACTGCTCAAAACTGCACGTTTAACATCACTATAAATAATTACTCTAGCAGAAATTAAAAATATGTAGGATGCAAGTATGAAAATACCGTCCCTATGAGTTATACTGTACCTACTTCTCAGTTTTAGTTCTTTAATAAATTTTGTTTGTGAGTTTCATAAATAAATTATTCTTTAGTCGTTTCATAAATAAATTATTTAAAAATTTGAGGAAGGCGGAAAAATCATATGTATAACATGGGGGTAAAGTGAATTTTCCTCCCTTGAATGATTACTTCATTCTCGGGAGGAAAAGTAACACTTTCCTCCCTTGTTATAGAAACAGCTATTGAAAAGCAATCCAACTTTCAAAATCAGAACATAATTTTATCTACTTGAGTGAGCGAAATTCTTAATAGTCATGTCAATAGCTAAGTTATTTGGATCAATATAGAAAGTGTTCCAAAATATTCAGTTGAGATAGTTATAGTGAAATACTTATCAAAAATCGGAAGAGAAATGAAATTGAATGAACAATTAGATGGAAATTGAAAAAATATTAGAACAGTTAAATATGTATGTTTAAAATATGTTTTTCCGTTGACCAGCTGTCGCTCACCTACGAACGACAACCGTCAGGAGTCTAAACTTTTGTGAGCTAAGAACTAACGAGGTCTTACCTTTTTACGTGTGATTCCTAACACGAGCTGGACGATAGCGAGTGAAAATCGATCGTTCAGTCTGTGGCTTGAACCATCGACTCACACATCGGTCGATTGAGAGAGTGAACAAAGCACCCACGTCGAACCGCCCGGCTATTCCTGAATAAAACAAACTATTGTGGTCTGAAATGAAATTTAATCGTTCAAACAATAAATGAAGAAGTAATATGAAAAATGAAAATGAAATTGTCATCAGTTTTCATTTGACGACGATTGTGGATACTAATAATCGAAACGTGTCGTGAAGTAGCTTGGTATGGAATCTCTGCTTCCATTTTTCTCATTTTTATTTCTTCATCTGACATGTAATTAAACGTAAGGAAGGAATAACAATAAAAATTGAAGTAATTATAGGTAAAATAATTTCAGTAGTTTGACTTTCTAATAAGTAATTTATTTAAAAATAATCCTTATATTGATTGGGCTATTATTGCAGTACTAATAATTAAAATTATTATTGCATGATAATGGAAATAAGTTAATTGTTCTATAGAACTCTATCTTGTAGTATTAGTTTTTTAAGTCACCATTTCTAAAAAAAGTTCAAACTTCATAAACGGGGTTTGAATCCAGTGCACTAATCTGCTATATTATAATTTAGAGGTTAGATAAGATAGTACTGAATAAACACGTTCGGCAGGGGGAAAATTTTGCAATCATTCAATAGATGATCTTAAATCATAAGTCCACAAATTTTTTCGTTAAAGGGTAAATGATTCTCATTAACTCCTGCACCTTGATCTGATTTGCTCTCTAATTGGAGATTTTGAATATTATTTTTCATTTACAATATTCAAACAAGGACGATATTCAAACTGAGAAAAAACGTAATTTAAATCGTGGATTATTTATTACAGAACAGGTCCCTGTGAATAGACTGGAATAACTTCAAAATTTTAAATTTTTAAGATTATTCTCATGGCTATATCTGTTGATATAGTGTGTTTTTGAGTCGTCATAACTTTGTTTATAATGAATATTTTTTCATGAAATTTTGGTCACTCCCGTTTAGAGGCACTCTGAATAATATATATGGGAGAGAAAAGTTTTGGCTTCCCATTGCTCCACTTTAAAACGAAAAAAAAATATTCACGTTTTATAACGCCAATCCGGCTTACTAAATGTTTAGCATTAACAAACAGATTTCATAATGTTTATCATAGATTACTGTGGTCATAGATGATTTTTCAATTATTTCACACTTTTGGATGGCTAGCGAGCACAAAGTTTTGAACTTGATGCTTGTTATTGAGAGAGAACAGACTCTTGGCAAATGCATGTAGGTACCTCAAATTTTAGAAAACTGATATCTAGTAAACTGAGCAGCTGAATCCAAGTCTGAAAATAATAAAGCATGAAGATTTGTTATTCATATCAGAATGAAACTGCCTAATGTGTTAAAAAATCGAAATTCGAATAATTTTTCAATGAAGAGTCAAGAGCACCAATTACAGTTTTAACTTTTTTATTTTCAATAAAACTAATTAGTAAGTGAAATTAACCTGTCTACAATGTATTTCAGGATAGCTTACAAAATTTTAACCTTGAAATTACATCTGCAGGCAAATTAAGTGGATGAACCCGGATGAATATTAGAATCACCCACATTGGGCATTTGAGCACCTCCTGGCTGTATCTGTAAATTTCTCCCTTGGAGATGTTTGATTTTGTACCTTTCTAACTCATTCACCATAGATCTTGCATGGTCTAGTCTATGCTTGGCCATTTGAAACACCTTCTGAGATGCATAGCCTGACCCCTCATGTGGTTGTCCAGTAGATACTTGTGTAAGATAATTTATTTGATCTGTGAGTTCATTTTCCACTGTACTAAGTGTTTTCAAAAACCTTTGAGTATGGTTTTCAGCTTGTTTGAGGCTTGATTTCTCTTTACTCAGCTCTACAAAGACTTTACCTGTAACAAAAGTTAAGTTATGAACAATTTTTATTTCTTTATTGTAAAACTTACCAGCACTATGTAAGCAAGTTACTATATCTTTTTCTATAGAATCAAGAACTTGAATGCGTTCCATTGTAGCGGCCATCTTATTTTGATTATCACTTGAACTAATTGGGAAAATAATATCTGAAAACAGAACAAATACAAGAATTACCAAAAACAATAACAACTGTGACTGACTATATGTTTCTAATTTCTATGGCCTTGCCATTCGATCGCATTCGGCCAAGTTCCTGCTTCTTCTCAAGAGGCCTTTGGATGAAAAAAATGTTAGTGTGACGAAGCTTCTGTTCACTATGGACAGGAGGAATTTGGCCGAATGCTTAGATATGTACTTACATGAGTAGAGGATGAGCTCGTAATCTCCCTTGTCTCCAAGTCTCGTTACTAGCTCTATTTGCTGTGTTCCACTCTAGCTTCGCACTGGTCACTCTGTTGTTCGAGGCCCATATTTATATTGTTGTAGCAGGTATCCAGCCTACCTGACCGGGTACCTGAGTTATTTCCAGGTATCTTGCACAACAATGACCTCCATGTTTGTGGTAGTCTCTGCGAATCATCTCGCTTGTTAAGGCAGTTAGATACCTAAATTCAACTCAGGTACCCGGTTAGACAACAAAGAGCTAGTAACGAGACTTGGAGACAAGGGAGATCACGACCTCGTCCTCGAGACATGTAAGTACAAATCTAAGTGATTCTTGAAATTGGCTCTATGTCATGAATGTTGAACGTTTGATGACATTAAGTGTCAAAGACGATAGCTATCCATAGACTGATCACGGTGTGGAAACTTGTGTCTTAGGGGATACTGAATACAGTGAAAATCAGCTTTGTATACAAATTTCAAATACGAATGGAAAATTATCCAAATTACAATAGATCTGGCTGCAGATGTAGATAAATGAACATCTAACATGTTCTGGGATCATATCTCAATACGTGTTCGATACATATTTATTAGTCGAAGCGTAGAGTGAAGAATATATCTTTCCGAAAACATGCACAGCAGAATGTCTCAAGTTATCTGATAGGTGAAAGTCGACCTCCCACCGGCTCTTAGACTGATATAATCCCTCAGATGCATCCCTCAGATGGAAAAGTGTGAATGTTATTTGTTTTTATTTGTATGTGATGGATTTCTCCAAAAAAACAATTCGTTCAGGCCAGTCTCAACTCACCTACACTCTAGATTAATGGACTGGTACCTATCAGAAAACAACTACTCCCCTGGATAAAACCACAAAGGGCGCTGGAGTATAACCGACAGGTCTCAGTGCTTGAACGAATTGTTCTTTCAGATAATTTGAGAGTTACAGCCAGTTTTCAAGTATCTTCCCTTACTATATGTGAAGATGAATCAGGAAACGCAATGAGCACATGCTATTCATTTATGCAAAATCATGAACCGACCCGTTCCTTGATGAAAATTATCATGGATAGAGTCGTGCAAGATCGAATAGAAATTCTTATTTGGCAAGAAATATATATGTTACTCGTGATATTCCGAACATTCAAATGTTTGTGTTTCAGAATTGGTCGGTAGAGAATAGAAAATAGAGGTTTCTGTAAAATCAACCAGAAATATCAATGGGAACAAATACAAAAGCTAGAGAATAAGCAAAGTTCTTCAATCTCAATGGAGTAGATTGCAGACGTAGAGTTAGATTTGCGAATTGGTTGAAAGGTAGAAATAGGGAAGTTGGAAATATTTGTGGAAAAATAATATAGATGGACGAATCAAAATCAACAGCAATGGTTGTTTCAACAGAAATACCCATTGGAGGTGAAATACTACAAATGAACATTTACATTGAGAAACCATTTTCCAGGACAAGTTCGGAATAAATGTTTGGTTGGATAATTTGAGTTCGAACATACTAGGTCCTTTCTTCTACGATGAACATTTGAATCGTGAAATATATCTACGTTTTATCTGATGATTTTCATGGCTCCTTAGATGGATTGTTACTGAATGTCCGCCGAAAAATATAATATTTTCAACAAGATGATAAGAATGCAACATTCCCGACGAAATCGATTAAGGACCAATTGCCTGGCCAGCTCGATGCCGGAACCTCAGTCCTTTACAATTTTTTCGACTGAGTATTTATTAGGAATGAACTGACCAGTAACTTGATGAAAATCTAATAATTTTCACAAACATTTTTCATTCATAAACGCGTTTTGATTTTACCGAGGAAGCTACGGTGTTAGCAAAACGCATCTACGAGTGGAACATGTTTGTGAAAATCGTAAAATTATTATCATCGACACTGAGTTTGTATGAAGGATGAAGTTTTTTCGTCACCTAATACAGATATGGATCATCTCAATTAAAAACTAAGAAGTGCATGTGATAACATTATACCCGTCGTGCTAGAAAATTGGCACATAATTCTATAGACAGGTGAATTTTATTCAACAAAGAGGTCATCAATTCGAGCATTTATTGTAGTTTGTCATGTAAAATTCATTTCTGTTTTGGTTTTATTTCCCCCATTTACTAATGAAATCATTTGTTTTCCTGTTTGATTGTTATCACAAATGATGCTAGTTATTTTCAATGGAAAGCTTTGAAATCTAGTGTGATATACCACCGAATTGTGATTTTGTCACTCCATCAATATTTGTAATAGAAGAGAAAGGTACGTATTTAAAAAAAAGTTGTTGGTGTCCGTGTTGATACAAAAAGTTTATTGTAACATCGTTGTTGTACATTTCGAGTACAATAAAACTTTTTTTGTATTTCCTGAAATAACAATTCTCATGGTCAGAAACCAAAAACAGCATTTTTGTTTTTCGTGTTTAATTCGAGAAGGGCGACAGTCCTTGTAGATTTTTTCGACAATTGTACCGTTCTTCATGATGCTTAGTTCCTTTTTTTTGGATCCCATGGTATTTATATCTATTACGATTTAGAATATAGAAATGTTGCCACATGATAAAAAAATGGCCTGTACTTTTATATACTTAGCTGTTATAAGGCGATGCAAATCTTTATAGTAGGTATTAATGGATTTGACAAAATATACAATGAGGGACTGTTCAACCAAAACGATGGAACAATCATGTTCATCAAAACTGAACTGGATTATAACTACGAAATAGTTGTTTTTGACCAAAAATAACTAATTTTCAACAAAATCAGTTTCCATGATAAAAAAATATATATGCTTGCTATGTATAAAAATCCACCTTACTGCACTTCAGAATTCACAAACTCGCTGAAAAACTTTCTCCAGATCTGTTAAACTGCTGATTATTCAGTTTTTCTAGGCGATATCGACATACATATCTTGGATGAAAACTTTGACTTTCCTACTATTGATTATTCAAATGCTATGAGTGAATCAAAATTCATCTCGCTAATAAATGATCACACAATATCAGAACCAAAGCAAATCTTGAACTACTACTACCAATTATAATAGAAACTAATCTCACTGACCATTATATTACTTTTCTACGAATAAAGATCGAAAAGAATACAATTATTGCCAATGAAAAAAATAAAGTTGAAGAAACTGATAACTACTCCAAATTCAAAACGCAACTTAGTAATGTAGACTGGATAGAATTATATCAAATAACAAACCTAGTAAAGGCAACAAAACAATTCGTAAAAATATTGAATGAAAACATCATTAGCTGTACAAATACCTTAAAAATAAGATATAGAAAAAGAGAAAGCTGGATCACTAACGGAATAATCAAATCTATCAACACTAGAGAAAAAATGTACCAAAAAACTATTCAAAACCCTTATATACTGAGAGATAACTATAAAGGCTATAGGAACACACTGAATGATCTCCTGAGAAAAACAAAAGAAAATTATTACAATGACAAAATTGAGAAAAATCAAATGAGTAACACTAAATTATGGGAAACAGTAGGGGACAAAAGCGTAACACGACTGAAATAAAGCATATAAATGTTGCTGGGCAAAAAACGAATGATATGCATAAAATTGGTGAAGCCTTCAATGAACATTACATAAATATTGGGAAAAAATTGTCAGAAATCCTCATTACAATAGCCCGAAACGAAACAAAAATTATCCAGAGTTCATGTTTCTATTTCCTACAAATCCATCAGAACTACCGATGCTCATACAATCTCTTAAAAACAAAAAAGCTGTGGGAATAGACGGAGTCAATGCTGAACTCGTGAAACATGTCTCACCAAATATTCAAAAATGGAGATAGAGACAAAATAGTCAATTACAGACCTATATCATTAACAACCTTATCAAAGCTCGTTGAAAAGGTTATAAAATCACTATCTTCCTATATGAAAAAATTTAACATCTTTTCAGATAGACAATATGGATTCCGAGACGGAATCTCAACCCAAGATGCAATTCTTGACTCGACATTGGGAATGTATAATGCACTGGATAACAATAAAGTTGCTCTTTGTGTCTTCATAGATCTCTCTAAGGCTCTTGACAGCGTTAGCCATCCACTTCTACTAAAATCACTCGAAAATATCGGCATCAGGGGAACCGCATTGAAAATGTTTAGTAGCTATTTGGAAGATAGACAACAGTGCGTTAAAATCGGTGATTTCAGAAGTGACTTAAAAAAAATAGAATACGGTGTACCGCGAGGCACTATTTTAGGGCTAATATTATTCAATATATATCTAAATGCTTTGTTCCTAATGCCAACTACAGGAAAATCTTTACGTACTTCGATGACCCTGCCATATTCTATGAAGAATGCTTCGCACATAAACTTCTAACCATCGATTTAAAAAAAAACTCGTTACTTACCAATATATACTAATAACAGAAACTCGCCCTCATCGGAAAATTTGAAGATTGCAAATATTTTTGAAATGAAACCGGTCCCTGAAAATATTCATAGACTCCAATTTAAAGTGGACTATACATATCAACCACGTAGTTAAAAAATTCCAATACTTGATTTATAACACTACTTGACGAAAAAACTTTGAGAATACTATACTATATTTTGCTCTTATTCAGTCACATATATCATATGGAATTCTAGCATGGGGATCGACAGATAAAACAATCAGGAACAAACTACTAATAACTCAATAGCGATTTTTAAAAATAATATACAACAAAAAGAAAACCCACCCGTCGGATGATATTTACCAACAAACAGAAATACATATAGACCCAATTCAACTTTTCTTCCAATGTAGCAACATAAGGTTACACAAAAAAGCATATATCACATAACAGAAAGTTAAACCCTCAATTAAACGTGACGTCTTATTACGTTTACTTCTCACTTTTTACATAATTGTATTTATATTTTATCTACACGTTATTAAAATAAACGTTATATTATTATTATAATCACGATGTTTTGACATGATAGGATTTTCCATATTTATGTGATTTGCTTGTTAACTGAATTTGAAGCTGAAGTCATACTTGTCGACTTATGCGTTGCTGTAGCTGTCGGCGGCGTGTATGCCTGAGCGTCACATTAGTCACGAAAAATATATGTGCTAGTCTGATCATGATATTTTTGTTTTATAACATACTAATAAATGAAATTCTAGACAGTCCAGCCCAAATAGTCATGAACGGGGATAAACCAGTTCAAGTTATCGAACTCTGAGACCACTGCAAACTAAACCAAGGCTCTGAACAACGCTCTGATGAACCTAAAATTATAGTCGAGATATGTCAACAAAATTTCCATCATTTGGCCACATGGACGTGACATATCTGAACTCAATATACGAAAAAATCCAGAGATAGAAAGAAAAAACGAGTTATCTTTTCCCGATATACGGGACATCAACACACAGTCTACAGGAAACCAACATATAGTAACAGATACCTGAACGCAGCATCACATCACTTGCCCAAATACAAGCGCATGCCACCAAATCCAGCAGTCGAAGGCACGAGGGAACAACAAATGATAGACGTACAAAAAGCTATACAGCAGAATGGATATAAAAAACATATAATTCGCAAAGCAACAAACCGAAGAAAGAAGAAAAACAATGAAAAAACAATCACAAAAAACTTATTTCATTCTAACCCAGGTCGGAGCATACGGCTACATTTAAAATAAATTGAAATCCTTTGACAATTCCAGTAATGTAGCAATGCATGCAGTTGATGAAATTAGACATATATGTATATTGAATAATAATCACAGTTATTTTGTTTATCCTCATTTACCCTTCATTTTACATTGTGATTGATATACAGTGCATTTCTTTAATGTCCCTCTCCTTTTATTTTTGGAACGGGTCAACTCAAAAAATTGAAATTTGGGATAATGAAATTAATGCATGAATACTTTATTTTGAAATAAAATTGACAGATAAAACTTTCAATATGGCAAATGGACGCCTTCTGGGAAAACAATTGACTGGAAAGGGGAGTTTTGTGAAACATCTCTTTGAAGCTCCAGACAAATGCTCCACTAGTTTATAAGCTCAAGTGTATGAAGTATAATAGTGTTTATGTGGGATAATGTGGCTGAAATTTATCAAAAGTTATTCTGAACATGACAGGCCATTCAGACTAGGTAGAAATGATTGGATGTTTCCAAACCACTCTTTGGAATGCAACCAAAAGTTCCCAAATCTAAACAGTATGCAAATTTTGCTCTATATGGGTAAGGGTTGGAAACTCAATTATATGGGATCCTTGGTTTGAGGAACACTCACTGTCGATCAATCCCAAGAAGACTGAGATAGTCCTTTTCACCAGGAAAAGAAAATTATTCGTTTTAAAACCTTCCGAAATCTTCAGAAGCAAACTAAACTTTTGTGAAGAGGTGAAATACTTTGGTACTATCTTTGACAAGAAGCATGCAATAAACACGCATATATACAGATGGTTCAAAAACCAAAGAAGGCTCAGGATGTGGAGTATTAGGTTGGGTTAGGTCCAAAGTGAGTGGGTCTAGTTGACCCTACACCGCAATCCGCAAGGGTTTATTGTGGCTCACACCTATTCACACTTGGCCAAATCAACCCAGCTCCTTAACGAAGCCGATTAGTTTGTATGGTGAGTGGTCTTTGAGGTCAGATGGTAAGAGTACGGCTTTGCCAGACTCTAAAGTCCTGATTTGGTCCCCAGCGGGGCAGGCACAACGTATATGATCTGCGAATTGCAAGATTCCCATCTTGATACCCATGACAACTTTCCCATATGAGGGTTTTTGCACATATTGCACGTCAGCTACACCTGATGATGCCATAGATTCAGAATTGCAGGGCTTTTTTTGCCACTGGTTTTGGTGAATCATCAATTGAGCGCAAACGTTTGCTAATCTGCTCATGGGGGGTTTGTTCCCCCATCTGAGACAGATTCTGCTTACGTTGCTCAAGAATTTGGTGCAAGGCGCTCTTGAGGAGACGACTCAGTTGTTTCCTCAACATCCATCTCCTCTGTAGACTCGCTCCTCAACTAAATTCACAGGAAGGTCAGTTGGAGTCGTAAAATGAGAACATCCATCTCCTCTGTAGACTCACTCATGAATTAAATGTACAGGGAGGTCAGTTGGAGTCGTTAACTCGACATCCATCTCCTCTGTAGGCTCGCTCCTGATCTGAATTTACAGGGAGGTCAGTTGGAGTCGTACTTATACCTGTTGGAAATGAAGAACTACCTATCTATCTAAAAATACACTTGGTCAGTACATCAATCTATCAGCCTGAAGTATATACCATCTTGCGATGCGCACGAAAAATCAATTGGAGACCCTAACGAAATGAGTGGATCAACATTTTCAAAGATATAGACTACTCTTGGGGCACCGATGCACCCAAAAGTGATATCCTGGATTATATAGGAATAACGCGAGGAACTGAGGAAGAACTGATGAGAGTGCCAGATACGGATCATAAACTCCATATATAGGCCCTAAACCAACTGTGAGGATACCAAAATCTTTGGTATCGAACCAAATTGGAAAACGTATCTATCAGAAATAGAAATAGTACTGGAAAACATATGCGGGGAAACACCTATACAGAAGCCGTCTGAGAAGAGAAAAGAAGAACTGCTTCAAGGGAGCAAAATCAGCTCAGAACACTTACAGGGTCACTGATTGTGCATTGCCCACTAAGAGGAAATATGAACAAATTATGGCCAGTCAACGGAAAACTTTCAACTGCAGGCAATGCAACAAAGAGACAGAGCTCATTGTAATTCATGTATGTGTGAGGAACTAGATCATACAAAGCAAACAATTCATGTACAACACAAATTATTTCCAGAAGAATTTGACATATATCCAGCAAGGGACCTGTATAAAGGCACAACATTTCTGGAATGGTAGTCACTGAAAATATGGTAGAAAAACGCAATAAGCCCATGGTGCAGCATTGTTCTCCTTGACTTGAGGAAATCGGACAAGTCAGGTGGCTTGCAAATAGTAGAAGAAAACTTCTTCAGGTTATGATAACGTTGTTAATATATCAGCCACAGAACTGTATTGGGTACGGTTCTGATCATTCAATTGCACCTGAATAGGCCAACAACAAAGCGGTGGGGATTTGAAACAGATAATGCTGCGTCACAGGCATTTTAAACGCAAACAACAAATCACATTTCAAATGATGAAAAAGAAAATATTTCTTATATTTCGTTATTCATATTCATTATCTTATATACATATGTATAAATTTGACGAAATTACATTCGTTTCTATTCAGATTTCCAACATCACCAACATATTCAGTTTTATTGACAATAGTGTGCTGAAAAATATACAACCCTAATAAAATGAAATGGTTCATGAAAAAAATTGAAGTAGCAAATATTCAACAAAAACGATATCGACTCATGTGAAGAATGTATGTAGAATATTTTTGAAAATCATTACTTCAAATAAACGAATATCATGCCACACAAAATTAATTTTGTTAACGGAAATATATTTTATTGGCAAAGAATACAATGATCACTCACCATAGGGCGCGGATATAGATCTTTGGGATGACAATTCATTAAAACAACGATGAAAATGAAAACAACAATAAAAATTAAATGGCGCTCCGGGGCGACTTTATTGATTCCAGTGGCGCATTTTTTTCAGCTGCAGTAAAACCCGGAAAAACCTGCAACACCACATCATCTGAAGATCTTGATTTAGCAATATCCTTTCTCTTATAAAAAAATGTAGAATGTCTCCAGAGGGTCCAATAGATTCAATACACGACTATCGTCAAACTCAAACCAGACCGTTTCGTCTTTGACCAAGGCGTAATAATGACCAAATTCAACGCCAGCACCACAGTGAACAATGACTGCATGAATATTATAATAGTGGCCTGCTAGATTGAAATGTTCATCTATTTCGAACCTTCCAAAGAGTTTCTTGCTTCCGTCAGAGGTTGAGTCTTGTTTGAAGATCATCAGTGTTATTATTAGATTGACTGGTGCCTCAGCTATACTTGTTTCCTTGTAACAGTCGGTTAGCTTGCCGCATGTTTGGCGATACAGTCAATCATCACCTGTACATAAATTCCATTTTCAGATGATTTAACGATAAGCTCTGTACGGACTGGTTATTAGTCATATTAGGAAAACTAGATGAAGTTCAAGAAATTCACCTAATTTTTTTCTACCTCTTGAACATTTAACAACAAAGTGAACAACAATTTTCCAGCAAAGGATTTACAAACACAAGACGATATTGACTGTACGGAATCATTCAATCCATAGCGGTCGGAAGTATTAATTTTGCTATTGTTTTGCTCACGAAGAGTATTCAACAAGAACCCTAAGAATTCAGAACAATCCTCTTGTCCTAACGAGTATCTAGTGGACTTCAAAGACTCCAGGAAATCGGTTGGAGGGAAAGATGATACATTTTTACGAAACTACAGCTGTATGAACAGGTGTTTGAGTTTGATGAATAAGTAGGAAACATTCTCGTTCTCGTTCGTCATTAAAACCTCGTTCTTGAAATTCTTCGTCATGAACAACACTTGTAAAATGCTATTCATGTAGCGAGTGTTTCCTAAATTATCCAATCCAATTTTCTTCTCTAGATTTTCAGGACAACTCTCTACTAATTCGTAAGGAAGAACATGTTTCACAGAATCTCCATGAGAACCATTTCTCAAGCTGCGATCGATCCTTCCAAGTAAAGAAAAGTTTCGTAGAGGGATCGATTGGGCTCTTGCTTCATGAAGCTCTTCCACTGAAAGGGAACCAGAACTACGACTGCAACTCATATTTGGGTGGCAAAAAAGACCTGTCCACTGACCGCACTGAAAAAGAAGAATGTGGATCAATCACTTGTGAATTAACCTTGATAGGAGACTGATGAATATCCACATATCTCGGCATGTTTCGAAGAGATTTCAGTTCCGTACTGAAGTTAGGGCAATGCATTATCTCATCAAAATTATGTGAAAGAGGAATAGTTCCAAGGAACGAAGCAGCATTGCCACGTTGAATAGCAATACTAATTATTTCTATAAATAAAGAGGTAGAATGGTGATCTTTCGTTGTTTGGCCTATACTCCTTCCGAGTTCATGAACGAATAACAGAGACTCCGGGCCATACACACCAAAAGTTTCAACCGGTACGGATGGAACAGATAGTTGTTACCAAGATTTTGGTATTTTAGTCTTTCCAATTTCTCGCCAGACAATGCTGCAGTTCCAGCAGACTTCAAACTTCTGACTACATGGGAAGCCGCGACCGTATCAACGCAAGTGAAGTTCCATATCACAGGTTTACCATATTTTCATGGTATGAGAGACATACCATCTGGTCGTTTATCATCATTTCGACTGGTACCTAAGGGTTCCAGAATTGCAGGAACATCCATTGACAACATAGCTCGTTTCAATATGTCGTTTACTTGGTGATGTCCAGATGTACGCCCTGCACTTCTCCTGCAACAATACCGAAACGACCACAAATAAGAATTTCGAAGTGATGGGAAAATAGATTGATAGATCTTTTCGA